TAATAATAATAATAATAATAATAATAATAATAATAATAATAATAATATTAAATTTCTTCAGGTTCTTGTATACCTTAATCCAATCGATTGGCTAGATAGCAGTAAAAACTCAAAAATGGAAGAAAAGACCATAAACACACTCAAAAAAGAAAAAAATTGTTAAATCCTGAAAAAGGCGGAAAAGTAAAAAACTAAAAAAGAGAAAAGAAAAGTTATTCAGGTCCTTCCACACCTTAATCCAATTAAGAGGTCTCAGGTATAAAAGGATGCATAAGAAAAAAAGAAAGCCACAAAAATTAAAATAAAAAAAACAATATGGAGGGTAAATAGAAAAAAAATACAAGAGAGGGAGAGAGAGAAAAAAGAAAAGAGACTACTCCCTTAAAAAGAAAAGGAAGGAAATCATCATACTAAGCTTCTCCTTTAAAATAAAATGCAAACGTAAAAAAATGACTTCAAAAGACAAAAAGAAAGACAAAAACAAGTTCCAAAAGGCCAAAAATCCAAATAGCTATTACAAAAAGTAAACTAATAAGGAGGGGTAGCTCAGCTTAAAAAAATAAAAAGAGCACACTGCACCTTGTTTGATTATCCAAGGCTTTTGTTAAAATTTATAACTCTCTTCTCCAGACTCTTATCACCTTTTTTTTTATAAGCTTCAACACCAGACCCCAGCTGTTGATAGAAACCCAGAAGAGCACCTGCAATAATATTCTCCCATGCTCTTCCCTCTATCTTATCAAATAGCAATGTCCTTGAAAAAGAATCTCAGTTGTTTCTCAGCTTTGTCTAGTCAAGAAAAAGAAATAGAATATTTCCAAGCCTCTAGTTGGCAGTGTTACAAAGTTCCTTTTGCTTTCACTTTCCCCCTCCTTTTCCAAACAAAATATAATAAAAATTAGTTAAAAAGGGAAAAAGATATTAAAAAAGATGACTAAAAGGGAGTCTCTAGCCTATAATATTATAAAGTCAAAAAGGAGAAAAAGAATAGGTGAAAGAAAAAAAAACAGTCGTTTCAAAATATAAAATTGTGTAGAAAATCCAGCAATGAGAAGAAAAAATAAATAAAAATATTACTTTGACATTCCTGTTTAAAATCGCCGCTTAATCACTTCTGTCAAAACTTTTACAGATTCTTTTCCTTAGGGTGTCCTTTCAAATCTTAAAATAAAAAAAAAAGTTCTCACCAAACCGGCACACTTTCTCTTTCTATTCTCTTTCGTTTCGGAGCTGTCCCAACTTCAGCAGCTTTAATGGCTGCCTCTTTGCTGCTGGCAAAAAGAGCTTCTCCTGGATCTACCAGGGACTTTGCAGTATTCCTGAGATCGACAGGATGTGCTCTTTACATTCACTGTCTCTTCGGGACGGTTTAGATCCAATTGGACCGTCCAGGAGCAAAGATATCGGCAGCGATCTGAGACCTCCAAGATCGCATGCCGTATTGTCATGACGCCAGCTCCGCCCTCCTCTCTTGGGCACAATCTTGTGCGCTGTGAGAAGTGTGAAATTATTTACAGTGCATACAGTTATTTAACACTCTCAGCTGAGTGACTTGCCTGTATGTGAAATACGCTGCTATTTCAGGGAAAACCATAGGACCATCTGTAGCAGTTGAAACTGTATTCTGGCCATGATCTTTGCTGGTTTGTCTCTGATTCCAGCATTCCAAAGCTGCGTGGGAAGTATATTTTGGCGATTGAATACGTTCTGTTGGTAAGCTGGAGAATCAACATGTTCGGTGTTCAAAAGCCTTGTTTGAGGTGAATGTGTTAACATATAGATGCCAAAGTTGTCTGGAGCCTACCGGAACTGCTATGTGATGGCTACTAGTCAGGAAGAGATAAAAATACTGGATATTTATATTAGTTCAAAGTTCATGTCTTTTAATGTAAAATATAATTGAATGCCTTTATAACATAAAATACTGCACATCTGCTTTGCAGGATAAAGTTGGAGAATTTGCAAAATTGTCCAAAATTGAGTTGCTTGAAGCTACAGAGAAATCTATTGGTCCACCAGAGATGTACAAATTTCACTGTGATCTCAAAAACTTCAGGCAGAGGGAGCGAGAACTTGAAGTAAGATATGTATTGTGTAAGCTTTACAGTTTTAAAGAAGAATATTGGGTTTGTTGCATTCTAAGAATGTACAAGATAAATTGCCTTTTTATTGAGAATATTTTATGACTACTCAAGAGCAGGAGTGCTGTTATCTTGGCTTATTGGCTTTGCTTCTTGTAGCTTTCCTTTATACTTTGCTTATTGTGGATCTTATTTTTAGCTTTTATGTTTTTTTAATTACCTGAGATTAAAAAAACCCAAACAATTGAAGTTTCTTTAATGATTGCTGATTCTGTCCTTGTTCCTCAGAAAGACTTTTCTTCCCCCCCCCCCCCCCGTTTGTTGTATTTTATAACAAAAAATGACAAAAATACAAAAGAATAAGTATAAGAATAAAGAATAAAATAAAATATACCCAGAAATAAACAGAATACAAGATATATATTTGATGAGATAAATAGTTTGCAAAAAGAAACCCTTTTAAATCTGTATTATCAAATAAGAAAAAAAAAACTGGTAAGTCTTCAGAAAAACTTAAATTTTTTTTTTCTCTACACCTGAGTCCCTGGGAATAAGTAGTGAGTAAATGTCCAGGAATATATAATACCATTATACTACTATTTGTTTATAGTGTTTTTGTTTTATCTTACAATAACACTTTCAAAATGTCTTGCAGTACAGCAAAACTGTATAACATTTTTTTCAACTGCCAATATATATGGATCAATCTGTTATATGTTTTGCATTAATTTACTGGGAAGTTGGTTTCCTAGTGATTCCTATGATTACTTGAAATTTGATGCATATATGTGGTGGCGGCGCAGTGATTAGAATGCAGTACTGCAGGCTAATTCTGCTGACTGCTGGCTGCAAGCAGTTCGGCAGTTCGATTCTTACCAGCTCAAGATTAATTCAGCCTTCTACCCTTCCGAGGTTGGGAAAATGAGGACCCAGATTGTTGGAGACAATATGCTGACTCTTAAACAGTTTAGAGAGGGTTGTAAAAGCAGTGTGAAGCGGTATATAAGTCTAAGTGCTATTGCTATTTAAACAAGTACATTGGACAGTTGGAAATCATGATTATTAGATTTTTATATTTTATATTAGTTACAACTATTTTATTGAAATATCATTTTGCTATTATTTTGATAATTATTAAACAGCTATTTACTTCAATAGATTATGGAAGGCTTGTAAAAACTATTTTCTATTTATTTAGTATTTATTTCATAGACTAAAAAAAATAGTCATTTTTCCCAATTAAAAAAAATTAAGCTGAAATGTAAATTACACACACCATTATTAATCATAATTCTTATTAGTAATGTTGCCAAGTAGAATATCAATTGTTAACATGATGATCAATATAGTATTTAAGTAGAAAACACAGGTATTCCTCAATTTTCAACCATTTGTTTAATGATCGTTTGAAATTACAACAGCACTGAAAAAAGTGACTTATGACTGGTTTTCACACTTACGACCATTGCAGTATCCCCATGTTCACATGTTCAAAATTCAGGCACTTGGCAACTGGCATGTATTTATAACAGTTGCACTGGCCTGGCGTCCTCTGATCACCATTTGTAACCTTTCCTGCAGGGAAATTCTAATTATGATGAACAACCATAGCAAAACTCATTTAACAACTGCCTTCTGAGCAATGAACATTTTGGGCTCAGTTGTGGTTGTAAATCGAGGACTACCTGCATATATTATATTATTGATTGAACATTTTCATTTAATAAATATTTGGCTTCTATTAATGCATTTATATGGATCTGAGCTGATTCAAAGCAAAGACCAGAAATTCTAATTATGATGATTTTTTCTGCATTATATCCAAAGTTATATTGGATTGTATCAAATGATGTCCCTTTGTTGAATGGTCATTGGTCCAGTGAAGATTTCCATCAATGTTAATAAGAAATGGAGGACTCTTCCAAATGGAGGGAGAATTGTTAAAAATTGCCTTTCCCATTCAGCAGGTGGAAATTGAGAGCAGATAATTGATTACAATCTACAATAGTGATCATTTATGTGATTACAACCTGTTGACCTTTCTGTTTTTAACCTGCACATTGCAGAATAAGTTCTATTTCTGGAGATAAAATTCCCATTTGCAATAATATTAATTATGTTCTTCTCATGTACATAATTGAATGAAGTAGATGGTAGAACAACAATAACCTGAGAATTACCTATGTTATTTTAGTCATGTAAATAATTTGCAATATCTGTGCTGACAGAATTTATGCACAGAAAAAAATAGCAATCTAGAAAAAATGAAGCAAAAGAATGAAAGATATAAGCAAGATGTGGAGCGATATCATGAACGTCAGCATCATCTAGATTCAATTGCAATGCTGGAGAAAAAAAGGCCATGGGTGGTAAGTTCCTAATTTTTATAGAGATTTGAAAATGTATTTTTAAACACAAATACACATTGCCATACACATGCACAAAAGCAAGGCTAATATAGCAAGAAAGTGTTGGAGTGAAATGGGGAAATTGATCAAATGTCAAATATCTGTAATCTGTATTTTTGTCTAACAAATGTCTGCTCAAGGTAACAAGGGAGATTGCAAGCTGTTGGTAAGTGTTTTAAATATGCCTTTTTGGTAATTTCCATGATTATCAAATGCAGAATTAATTGTAAAAATAGTAACATTTTCAAAATGAAATTATGAAAAATTCACTTTTTTCTCCCATTCCCCCAATTTGCCTCTAATATGTAGCTCCTAAAATACTTCTTTTCTTGGAATTGAGCTAAGGTTTTGTTTTCATCCTGCAACCTGATGTTCTTTACTATGTTTTTAGTATGGATTCTCTCTGTCGTTTTTTCTAGACTAATATGTTGTAAAAGTGAGGTGATTCTCTATTGTGGCAAGCCAAAACACATTAACCCACTATCTGCTTTAATTCTGATTGTATTAGGGTTTTTTTAATTCAAGGAAAACATCATGCTGTTTGTATTTTAAATAGCCTGTACACAATTTTAAAGTCATAGTGTTCCATTTTTCTATAATATTTTAAAACTTGACTGCAACATTCATACAAATTGAGATATGCTTATTTAAATACACACTATTGAATACTATAAAAAGGTCTGAGAGCCCAGAATTCGATTAGCTACATAAAATTTAATGTGATTTGTATAGCATCAGTCTGCTGGTTTAAAAAAGGTAAGAAAAATACCTTTGAAATTATAATTCCCAAATTAAAATCATAATACTTATGCTACATTAAAATTATAATACATAATGCTACATTGTTTCCTTTAGCTTGTTTGAGAAATCCATGGATATTTAATGCATGGCAGTCATCTTGACAGAAATAAACTTTTAAATATCAAAAAAAGGAAAAGATGAAAAAACAATGAAACCTATATTTGTTGTGTATATATACCAACAAGTGGTTCATATTCATTAAAAAGCAAACAATTGTGCAAGTATTACAAACAGCAATTTAAAATGTAAGCAGTGTTGTAATTCTGATCATAATGTCAAATAAAAATTTAGTTAACAGTGCAATTATAAAAGAGCATTCCTCCATGTGGTGGTTTTCTGATATTGGTTGTGTTGTTTTTCCTTTGCTAAGTAATGCCTAGTTAAGCTATTCTGTTTCAAGCTAATGTATAATAATTATATAAATATGAAATGTGAGCAAAGTAGCAAAATCAGATAGCATCATCCTATATATAGTTGGTGCAGTGTCACTAATTATTTTGCATGCATTGCTTTATAGATATATGAAGAAACACGGAAACTGTATGAAGAGGCTAAAAAAAACCGAGATAGACAGAAAGAAGAATTAAAAACATTGAGACAGACCCAGGCTCCTATGATTCATGAGATGAGAGAAGCTGACAAACAATGTGCAAAACTGGAAGACAAAATCAAGGAAAAGGTATGTTTTTAAGAGTCATTGTATCACGTTTGCATGAAATCTTAGAGAAGACAAAATGATTAATGTACATAGAAAAGTTATAGGAATGTAGCCTGTAGTCATGAAATTTAAAATTGAAACAGTTGATTAAAAACTGTCAGAGGTAATTGGGTTAAAATCATAGAAGAAAAGATTTCATGCAGTTTAACTTTCCAACAAGCCTCCATTTCAAGACTAATGTACTATGGGGAAGGCATTCTGGATCAGATATTAATCTGACCTCCACTGGATGTCAATTGATAATCTTTAATTAATCACAATATTTAAACATTGCTAATAAAGTAATAACTAGCTTTAGCAGAATTTAAACCACCAAATGTGTCCTACGGCCTTGGGACTTGAAAATCATAGATTGACTGAATCTCTAATTCAACAAACCAAAAGGCCTGCTCTTTAAATAAGATAGAGGTCTTATCCCGAGGCATAAGTTTTCTATTCCGTACCAATGTCCTTGTTCTATTCTGCATCTGGAGCAAATATAATTTAGGACAGTTAACTAATTCCTATTTTTAATATTAGTGTGCTGGTTGAAAACTTAGAATCTTCAACAAATGCATGTAAACTTCTGCCAACCATTCTTTTTAAAGCATTCACTGTTATTTTCCTGCTTGTGGAAGTCTATGATACAGTACAGTACGGTACTGAATGTGAAGAAAACGGAAATTTGGTCTCAGTCCAGTAGCTGTACCTATTACCAAAATAGAAACTCTGTTCTTAATAAATATTTCCACTTTAGGTTGAATCCTTAAAATTACTTAAGACGTAAGACTTCAGCTGTTCAAATTGCAGTTGATAAACTCAACAATAATAGTTTACAGCTTTGTATCAAGTGGTGATTATTCTCCATGAACTATAAAGAGCTATGAAGAATAATGTATATACTGTAGTATAGTGTGTTCACATTATGTTCATGCTCCCTGGTGCTATATTAGTTGGTAAATTCAGTAGAACACACTGCTAACGTAAAATTATCTTTTATAGATTGCAGCAATCAAAGAAACATCTCAGAAATGTAAACAGCAACAGGATGCTTTGGAGAAAAAAGACAAGCAAGTAAGACTTTGACTTGTAGTTGCAAGTAATTCTCACTTAACACTGGTAATTGGGACTGGCAACTCCATTGCTAAGCAATGTGTCATGTGACCACGCCAGCTTATGGTGGCAGTTCTGGCAGTTCCAGTTGTCATCATTAGGTGAATCCTGTGTGATACCATTTGTGATCACCATTTGTGACCTCCTGCCAGCTTCCCAAATGAGTTTGCTTGTTGGAAGCCAGGAGAGAAGATCACAAATGGCAGACACAGGACATAGCAATTGTTTGTCCTTTGTTTAGCGCCATTGTAATTTTGAACAGTCACTGAATGAGTGGCTTTTAAAGGGACATCATCTATAGTAGCATCGTTTTGCTGACTGAATAGGTTCTTGTTCCTCTCCAATCTCACCTATTACCCAAACCAACCTAAGGAGCTGGAGTGGGAAGAAGAGGAGTCTCATTGTATAAATGGCAGTCTGCAGTATTAATCATTCAGTCTTGTCACAACATTCAAGAATATAAATGTTAAATTTTACTATGATAATCACTGCATATTTTACTTTTACAAGTACTTCAGGGATCTTAAAAAGTGTAATACAATGCCCTCATAAAATGAGTTTATGTATATCACCCAGGCAAAGCACTTTCTAATTCGGTCAACTCGCTCTAGCCTCTATTCTCCCTTGTCTTGGCAAGTTTACTGTGGACTGGTGCAGGCAGAGTTTATATATCGGGATTTCTTGATTTCCTAGACCAGGGGTATCAAACTGGCAGCCCGTGGGTCAGATGTGTCACACGCAGGCCATGCCACCCCAGCTCGGTGAAGGAAAAAATGTTGTAAAACACATGACAGCAACGTGACACCACAAGTTTGACACCTGTGCCCTAGACCAAGTCCACTGTGACTGTATCCTAGCAAAGCTGGAGCAGGTTTTGACAATGCTGCTCCTTTTCCTGTTTAAGCCTGATTGACCAAAAAAATGTTTGCATCCAGACCTCCAGTTGTTTGTGAGTTGTTTCCCTTCAAGACCACAGTTCACAATTAGATAAGAGGTGGGCACCTTGGAATTCTATATCATTTCCCAGTCATATATGCCAGCCTGTTTTGTTTACTTTACCTCTACTGTGCAAAATAATAAGTTTGGGATCACCCAGATTTGAAATTTTGGAATTGAGCGACAGAACAACTTTCATTGTGGTTGTAAGAGTACTGTAATTAAAACAACAAGTGTTTTGCCATTTTTCTTTGAGATTTTATAATGGAAACTTACTTTTTTATTGGCATTTCTGGAGAATATTTCTTTGCATTTTTTAGATTGAAGATATTAAACTAGATTTAAGGATGAAACAAGAGGCAGAAATGGATCGCCAGAGGAGAATACAAAATACTCGTAAGATGATAGAAGACTGGACCAGTGAGCTTGAAAACACAGAGAATGCTGAGAACATTCAGCCTTTAATGAATTCTCTTAATGCCAACCTTAGACAGTTGGAGGAAGAGAAGGCAAATATTGATAGTGAACTAAACGATCTCCGTAAGGAAAAGGAGAACTTGCTAAAAGAAAGAAAAGGTAAAGATGCTAAAGTATATTTTTGCCATTCATACAACCTGAGTTCCAAACAAATAAACATATTGATAACTGACAACTTACCTACTCTGTCCAGAGGGAAGATGTGATGTTTCTCTTTTCTTACCTGTTCCATGGCAGGATCCAAGCAGTTTATTTGCTAAACTTTGCTTCTTGGCACCAACCAAGCATTTCTGTCTGAATATCTTTAACATTTAATTTTTCACATTATACTTCTTTATGGAATATTCTTAGAAATTCTAAGACTTGCTAGATGTTGGGGAATAACTTTGTGGAATTCAGTTTATATAAGCATGTAAAAACATATTTTGTCTTATTCTCTAGTTATAATTTATACTAACAGAATGATTGGTGTTGAGGAAAAGGGTCCTATTGCTATGAGAGCTAGATTCTTAGGCATCTTTTGAATAGCAGTTATACATTTGTTTTCTGATGAAAATTCAGCAACTCTTGTTGGATAATTTCATAGGAATAGTTCATAAGTCTCCATTGTTTTTACAAACATTAACCTCTGTTAGAAGAGCAGAAAAGTATCAAATTAAGTATGCTTTCACAATACACAGTAAAATGGGAGGGAGGCTATATTTGTAATCATATATTACAGTAAATATATCAGGGTTATTAAAATTACAGATATAGAAGATCGCATTACTCAATTTGAAAATCTGATGAATATAAAGGAAGAGAAGCTGAAAGGGAGATTCCAAGATACACACAGTGCTCTTATGTGGCTAAGAAAGAATAGACACCGATTTAAAAAAAGCGTCTGTGACCCTCTGTTACTTTCAGTAAGCTGACCCACTTCAGTGTTATTACTAAAATTTAATCATTATTTCCGTTATAATCTTATTTTTAAAACCTTTCCCAAACAATACATTATTGTATTATCAACTACTGTGTTTCTCATAAAATAAGGCCGGGCCTTATTTTTTTTTGAGCCCCGAAAAAACGGCTAGGCTGTCTTTTTGGGGGTGACTTAATTCCCCCCCTTTCATCCTCATCTAGAGCGCCCCGCGGCAACAGTGGCAGGTGCCAAAGGTCTTGGGTCTGCAGCAAAGGTGTTTGGTGGGAGTAGGGAGCTCTCTGCGCTTCGCCATGATCACCCGTTAGGAGTGGCTGGTGGCGAGGAATTGCTGCCTACGGGGCGCTCCTAACGGCAAGTCCCCCCACCCTTCCCCCCATTTTGCATGTTCTAATATAGGCCTAAATTTGGGGGGAGGGGCTTAATTTGATTTTATGCCTAGAAAACATGCTGGGTCTTCCTATTGGTGGAGGCCGTATTGTTGGAGAAACATGGTAGGATATGAGTATTTTGACATCTTAATTTAGCTATGTCGATATAATTTGTCGCATGAAATTTAAGTACAATTGTATGCCTGTGTTATAAAGAGCATTCTAAAAAATGTCATAATTATGATAGGTTAACATTTTTGATTACAGTGGAGCCTCAGGTCGCAATTGTAATCCATTCCCGGACTCCGGTTGCGACCTGATTTGATTGTGTCTGGAAGCACGACTGATTGCGCATGTGCGCAGTTAAAAAAAATGGCGCTGAAGGAGAAATTGGGGCGGAAAGGGAATCTTTTGTTTGCCACCCGCTTTTTGAATCATGACACGATTCAAAAATTGGGTGGATTTTTTGTTTGCCACCCGATTTGGTCGCTACCCAAGGTTCCATTTATTTAATTTTATACATGCTTATTACATGAAGATAATAATAATATGTTCACAAATTATAAACTGTTGAGTGGTTCGGAGGGGAGTGGATTCTTTGCATTCATGCTTACAATATATATGAAGTTTAATAATTTTCCTTAATGACTACTGTTTAGTATAGATCTTTTGGAAGAAGAGGTTGCACTGTTTTTTCAAGACCCTCCAAGTTGACTTTCTGCTCTGTATGGTCAGAGTTGTATAGATATGCATGTAGTCTTTTACAGTAATGAATGATTGTTCTATAGCAGCATATTTATTATGTTGAAGGAATGGTGTATATTATTAAAAAATCCAGGCTTTTGGATGTTTTTAACTGCAATTCTTTTTGTAACTGTAGTTTCTTCTTATACAGATAAATATGAAAGATAATAAACACGCTAAATATGTAGAAAATCACATTTCTGCTAATGACATGAAGGCCTTTGTGTTTGAAATGAAGGAAGATATGGAATTATTTTTAAAAGAGGTAAAAAAAATTCACCTGATTAGAAACTGGCACCTAGCACTGTATGTCATTAACTGGCATTATAATAGCACTAAGATTGGAGGGGGTGAGAGGGAGAGAGAGAGAGATAGTTTCCTCACTCTTAACTTGATGGAGCATACCTTTCTCTTGTTTAGAATAATCATCATGCTTTGAGTGGCCGATAAATAATTCAAAGGACATAAGATAGACACTACCAGGATCACCAGCTGGGTGATCAGTAATGAGAGATACTTGGAGTTGTTGTGCAGCAATATAAAAGAAGCCATCCACCAACTTTGTTCTAATAACAAACTCTTGCTCAGTGCAAAATATAGCTTCTTTTCAATACTGTCAACACACATTAATAGAGTCCACTGTCTCTAGAGTAACCTACTCCATTCCTTTACACCTCTACAATGTTTGCAATCAGAATTGGATGCATTTCTTGACATGATTCATTTAACGTAGAATAAAGTAGAACCTGTTTCCTACATCATGTGCTTTTACCAATTGTAAGATTGCAGTAGATTTTTAAATGGATATTTAATCACTGCTGGCTTTTTTTCAAGTTGCAAATACTTGTGAACAATTTTTGGTTAATAACCTTACCTTTTGAAAAGAAAGAAAAAATATAAATAGAATGTAGGAATTTAATTATCTTATACGGCTACTCTTTACTTAACGACCACAATGGGTACCAGCAACTGTGTCACTAAATGTCATGATTGCTATGTTAAATATCTTGTGGCCGTGACTTATGACCTCACTGCTGTTTTGGTTGTTAAGTGAATCCCCATGGTCATTAAGCAAGACATTACATGACTGTGACTTGGGCTTCACTTCAACAATCTTTATTAACTCTGCTTGCCAGAGATCAGGTATGAAGCACAAGTAGAAATTGAGCCTGGGAGGGTGCTGCGACTATCGCAAAGGCGAGGATTGGTCGCAAAGCTTGTTGTTTTTACACCAGTACAACTTCAAATAGTTGCTAAAGGAAGCAAGTGGTAATCAAGGACTGCCTGTGTACAGTGGCAATGCAGAAAGAATATCCTTAGTTAAATTCAGAAGGGAATGTTATCATACACTCTAATAATAATCAAATTTATCATTGTAAGATAAATGAATTCACATTTTCTTTATTGGTGCAACCTATTTGTAGATGCGGGATAATTGCAAACTAAGAGTTAATGCTGTATGTGCACCTAGTGAATCATTTGCTGAAAAAAGACCTCCAAAACCAATTGAAGAACTGTAGTAAGTATTACAGTCCTATGTTAAAATCAGATATTACATAAATTAACGTGTGCTACTATATAAAAGTATTATACATTGCTTGATTTGGTGGTTTTATCTTTTATAGTTTTTGTGTCTGCTTATTTGTTTGTATCCCATTTTTATTATTTTTACAAGTAATATAAGATGTTGAACATATCCAGCACACCTTCCTCCTCCTATTTTCCCCACAACAGCAACCCAGTGAGGTGGATTGGGCTGATAGTGAGTGACTGTCCCAAAGTCACCCAACTCTTCACTTGTCTATAAGTACTCCAAGAATGGCATATGCCTACTTTTCTACTGGTTTTTTTTTAAATTAAAGAATGTTTTTTTACTTCATAATATAGTTTCTAACTTGTAAATAGAGTCAACTTATTTGATTAGAAAAATCAACACAATTGGCTGTGGTACAATTATAACCTGAAAAAATTGCGCAATTTGATTTTGGTACTGCATTAACTTAATTTTTATTTTAGTAAATTTAAGTTCCTTCCTGTCCACACATTTCCATCTCTGTTTCATTGCTCAGGGAATACGTGCATTAACAGTAACAGAAAAGCTGTCTACCTGTTTCTCTTTCTTTTTTTCCAGCCGCTACGGATTTTGCTCTTACTTAAGGGAGTTATTCGATGCTCCCCTCCCTGTGATGAATTATCTTTGTTATCAATATCATATTTATGAGGTTCCTGTAGGAACAGAGAAGACTAGGAATATGATTGAAAGGGTAAGATATATTCTTGAACCCCTCTATTGCCAACTGAGAGACAAAAACAATAGTGAACCCTGGTGAAATGCCAAAGAAGATTTTATTAACCAAACATTAAGAGAGTAACAAAGAAAGATACCCAATCCATCTCCTTTCAGCTTGCCAGGAGGTTCCTTAGCTGGCAGCAGCTAGACTTCCTGGAGCTGTAGATAACTTCTCTACTTCCTGTTGTATTCATTTTGTCACTTGTTTCATGTACAGGTAATAAAGGAAACAAAACTTAAGCAAATCTACACAGCAGAAGAAAAGTACACAGTAAAAATATCCCGATACACAAATCAGTCTGTTTCCACTAACATATCACTGAAGCCAGCACAATATCTTACTGTTACAGTGGATGCAGATAAAAGAAGACAGTTAGAAGATAAAAAAAATGTAAGTTAATTTCTATAGTGCTTCAAGAAAGCAAGATTCCCTTTTTATTTGAAGTTTTGGGTGTTTTTCATTCTAAAATGCCTTTGTCCTTAGCAGTTTTTCTGTTTTTTTATATATATATTATGGAGCATTTTTAAAAAAATTATAATAATAATTTTACTATTTATTATTAGCAGTAGTAATTAATTCTCTTTCTAATGGCAAATGTTTAATCTTTTCATACGTGGACTGAGTCTGCAACTTTTCTGAGCAGAGTTTCAGAAAATGCACCACTATAGAAAAGGCTAATTATAATCTTGCTATTGAAAATGATGGCACATCCAGAATAGACACAATAAGTAAAGATACGTATTCAGTATATTATGATATAGCATGACAAACCAAAGGAAAGATGCATAAAATTTAAAATCGTACTAACGATGATAAAATCATGTGCTACAATGAAGAACAATAAAACATGCAACATACAAATTCTCTCAGGATAATTGAAAAAATATTTTCAGAATGAGATAACTTTAAACTAGCGTATTTTTGTTATTTATTTTATTTCTGCTTGAACCAGTACTTCTTTTGGGCAAAGAGCGCTTTGCAGGAGTTGACATAAGAGTCCGTGTGAAGGGTGGTGGTCATGTGGCCCAGATATATGCAATTCGGCAATCTATTTCCAAAGCACTGGTGGCTTATTACCAGAAATACGTTGATGAAGCTTCTAAGAAGGAAATACAGGATATCCTCATCCAGTATGATAGGACCTTGTTAGTTGCTGATCCTCGACATTGTGAGTCCAAGAAGTTCGGTGGACCTAGTGCTCATGCACGTTACCAAAAATCCTATCATTAAAACCTTTTTTTGTCTATTTGAAATAAATGATAAAATTGATTTTTAAAAAAAAAAAAAAAAAAAAAACTAGCTTATATTTCATGTTCACTCACGCCTTTGTCCTGAAAATAACAGAGAGAGACCTAACAACTGTCTAGGTTCAAATATCACTCCTTTGTAAATAAATAAATGCGCTGATCTATGCGCTTTGTCTCTGTTTTCACACTTAAATTTGGAAAAGTGCTGCCATGCTTGATCCTTCTTTTTTTCATTCAGTTACTAGCAGTATTTCTTTCACCTTCGTACGAATCAAATCATTACAACCTATGACTTCTAGTAATTATTGTTTTGAAAATATATTGGCAATCTGGGTTATGAATTTTAGATTTTAAATCCATCTTGTTCTTTCTCACTTTAACTTATTGTTGTACACTAATTCGTATTTCTTAAAAGGCTTATTTATAATAGTCAGGGTAGAATTTCATTTGAGAATCTTGGAGAGCCTAGAGATATAGTAGAGGAGATAGTGTGTGTATATCCATTTTAAAGGTAGTGCAAGTTTTTAAAACAAGGAATGTTGATAAATTGATAGTAAAATAATTAAATTGATTCTACTAGAACAAGGGTCTTCAAACTTAGCAAGTTTAAGACTTGTGGACTTAAACTCCCGGAATTCCTGAGCTAACATGACTGGAGGAAGAATTCTGGGAGTTGAAGTCCACAAGTCTTAAAGTGGTCAAGTTTGAAGAGTCCTGTACTAGAATGTATGTAGATCAAGGGTGATGATGTTCTCTAGTCAGGTAATGAAACATTCTTAAGCCAACAATCAAGCTCAGAGTGCACTAAGGATTCCTCAAATTAATAGATTATTGAAATTCTTAAGATTATCAAGAATGTATAATAATTGAAAAATGATCTACCTTATTCCTTACATAAGATAATATGTAAGAGAAAAGATTTTTGTGAAATTTAAGTAACACATGTTCCAAAAGGTGATTAATGCAGGAAGTTAATTCACAAGATCAGGGGTGTCAAACTCAATTTCATTCAGAGCCGCATCAGGGTTGTGTTTGACCTTAGAGGCCGGGGTGGGGTGTGGCCAGCTTGACAACATTTGTGTCGGCGCCTGTGGTGATCTGAGTGCTCTGCCAGAGAAAACGGGATCCCAAGCTTTGTTTTTGGCTGCGACAGCCTCCTGCAACCATCTGCCAGCAAAAATGGAGTTTGGAAGGGCCACACGCAGTCCTCCCAAGCTCTGTTTTTGCTGGCAGAGGCACTGCAGGCTGGTCCTTCGCTGTTTCCAGGGCAGCCCTGTAGATCAGATCTAAGCACCCTGCGGACCGGATCCAGCCCCTGGGCCTTGAGTTTGACCACCCCCGCACTAGATCAACAAATTAATAGGCTAAAGTTGCATTTCTAAACAGTTAGGATTAATTCCTAAATGACATTGAACTCAGTGGGACTTAATTTAGATTGGCTACACAATGGTATTGTTAATAGTAAAGCTTCTGTTCAAAACACACTCTGTGTGTGTGTGTGTGTGTGCGCGCGCACGCAGATCTGTTTATTTGAATCCAAATAGTAAATTGTTACTTGATTGAACACGAGAGTAAAATATGTATGATTTAAAGCAGTCAGAGCAAACATCCTTAGTAAGATTGCACAGTAAAATGGGATGTTTCTTTTATGCTACTTATTGCAGGAAATTAACGAGCAGTTGCAATCATTGGATTCTCAAATGGCATTACTATCTGAGAAGCAGAAACGCTTCGAATGCAAAGACAACCAACTCCGTCAAGAGAAAAAGGAACTCTTGGAACGAAAAAATAAAAGGAAGCAATTAGAATCAAAAATTAGTATGAAAAGTGATAGGTATGGATTTTAAATATTATATAAAATTACTTTAAAATCTAGATAGAAAAATAGAATTTAGAAAGCAAAACCAAAACATCTAGTTCTTATCCTATGTAATGTGCCTTCCAGGAAAAGAGGAGACGGGCACAATTTTATGATAATGAATAGACAGAACAGTAGCTCTGTTTCCTTTATTGGAAAACAAAATCTTACAAGAAGACTGAAATACACTCTTATTTTTGCTTGAAGTCTCTCTCCACCCAACCTTCCCCATACAATGCTTACAGATGGTCCTTGAATTACAACCACAGTTTAGACTGAAAATGTTGGTTGTTGACTGAAGTGATCATTAAATGAGGCATCATGACTCAAAGAGCTGCCTGCCAAAGGGACTCTGTCCTGTACAGGGCCAAAATCCAAGCAGGCAGCCCTTTCACTCTGAAAGAGGCTGGCTAAAAAAAGGTCTATCCCAAAATCCCAGCAGGATTTAGACATGGAGTATTTGCAACATAGCATTTGCAGCCAGCCCACAGCAACAAGAGGACTCCCTCTAGTTTCTGGGGACTGGTTGCAACTGCCCTATCCTGCAGTTTGTAGTTGCTTTGTTGTAAATCCAGTATCCAGTTTAGGAGCTTCTGCTGCCACCAACACACTTGTGGAAAACTACAGGTTTGTAAGTCGAAGACTATCTAAATAGCAATGATCCTTGGGATTTTAACTGTTGGGGTAATTAACCTTGTAGGTAATATAGTGTGTAATTTTATTTTTTTAGAATTTCTTCGCTGTAATAATTATCCTGAGCCTAAACATTGTGTATACATTCAACTAAATACAGTTTGAGAAAGCTGAGACAAGGATGTCTTATAGCAGATGGTGTTAAATTAAATTTTGAGAGTTTGGGGACACCTTTACAGCATATTTCAATGATGATGATGATGATTTTCTACTTTCAAAATAGCAATCTTGTTTTCTAATTTTCCAAAATATTCCTGAAACATATTCTTGTAATGTTGAACTAAGAGTATAATAATTATTCTCAAAACATTGCTCATAAATCTTTTTTATACAGTTTAAGACAGATGGAACAAGATGGCATCAATCTGGAAGAAGAATCTGAGCAAGCAAATGCTAAAATTAAGAAACTTAATACTCAGAAAGTGAAACTTGTGATTGATTTTATGCATCTAATAAAGGTAAACACAGTTTCTAAAAATGAAGAGATACTCTTAATCCAACTGTATATTATACAACATTTAAATTATGAATTATCCTTTTTCATTCCTCTGTCACAAAAATATGTGGTAGTTGGCACTTGGATAACATTTAACTGTTAATATTAATAGTGTTTCATATCTTAAATTCCTGTCACTGACTGCTTTCCCCTTAGAAGGAATAGAATAGAATAGAATAGAATAGAATAGAATAGAAAACAGAGTTGGAAGGGACCTTGGAGGTCTTCTAGTCCAACCCCCTGCCTAGGCAGGAAACGCTATACCATTTCAGATAAATGGTTATCCAACATCTTTTTTAAAACTTCCAGTGTTGGAGCATTCACAACTTCTGGAGGCAAGTTGTTTCACTTATTAATCGTTCTAACTGTCAGGAAATTTATCCTTAGTTCCAAGTTGCTTCTCTCCTTGATTAGTTTCCACCCATTGCTTCTTGTCCTGCCCTCAGGGGCTTTGGAGAATAGCTTGACTCCCTCTTCTTTGTGGCAGCCCCTGAGATATTGGAAGACTGCTATCATGTCTCCCCTAGTCCTTCTTTTCATCAGACTAGACATACCCAGTTCCAGCAACTGTTCTTTATAACAACCAGTCCTCCTAATCATCTTTGTTGCTCTTTTACATTGTACACTCAAATTACATTGAGTAGCATTCAATAACACAAATGCTTTGATTAATGATGGACATTCACTGTGTGATTCATCATGTTAATTTTCATGTGATAATTATTAAGTGAACTCAGTTCAAATGAATAAATCCTGCTGTTGATCTGAACTCTGATATTTGTATTATAACAGCACAGATGTTAAGAATTTGCCCACTGAGACCTATGTTTCAGGATGATGTTTGAGTGGCTTTGCAATTTGGTAAGAGAAGAATTACTTTGCCTGACCAAACTAAGTAGCTGTCAGACTAAATATCCTCAGCAAATAAAACAGTGTTCTGTTCTTGACACTGATTTCAGCCTAGCACAAGTCTTGTGGTAAAACTATAGGAAGCTGCCTCATAATGGCTTTCCTCTGGAAGTTCTGGGTGCTCCATCACTGGAGATTTTCAAGAAGAGGCTGGACAGCCATTCGTCTGGAATGATACAGGATCCCCTGCCATGGGCAGAAGGTTGGACTAGAAGGCCTTCAAGGTTCTTTCCAACCCTATTCTAGAACAGAAAATAACAGAATAACAAAGTTGGAAGGAATCTTGGAAGTATTCTAGTCCTGGGGTCCCAACCCCTAGGCACACTACCGGGCCTTGAGCCTCTTTGGAATAGAACTGCAGAAGTGATGGGTGAGCATGTTTGTGTGTGTGCTCCATTTGTGTGAGTGGCAGGCACGCATACGCACCGCTCACACAAATAGAGTTGCACGCACATAACCTTCCTCTCCCTTCCCCCCCTGCCGGTCTTCAAAGCTGAAAAAGGTTGGGGAAATCTGTTCTAGTCCAACCGCCTGCTCAGGCAACAAACCCTATACCATTTCAGACAAATGGTTGCCCAATATCTTCTTAAAAACTTGCAGTGTTGGGGCATCCACAACTTTTGGAGGCAATTATTCTATAATCTAAAGAATGAAACCATTTAAACCAATATTGGCACTGCTTTTGGTCAGCATTCTCCCTAATTGTAGGCTATACTTTTTGCAGCTTTGACTGGAGAAGCTGGAAATTCAACACACATAGCATGTACTCTACAAATAATCCATGGCTCTTCCTTACAATATGGAGTGTAGACTGAGAATGAGCCTTCCTGCTTCTTTTTCAAATTTCTTAAAAGTGTTATTGATTTTTTTTTAATGAACAACAGACTTTATAACCTCAGCTGCTCTCTCTCCTTTTCCTAATGCAACATGTTTCATTGGATGGATAGGAATAATCAGTTACTAATATCTAAAAAGAGAATGACAAGGGGAAAAAGGAAAATAAGATGGTTTCAGATATGACAGGTGAGGATAACATAGGTGTACTATTAGCATGGTAAATTGTTTTTTCTTACGATTTATAAAGAGGAAGGAAGGATTCCTAAATATATTCCTGTTTCTGGGTAAATGTAATTCATTCTTTAAAAATGTGTCCAAAAGTTAACTGTAGTCCAAATTCAGTATAAAGTAGGGCTTTAGCTTCTAGAATTGCCAGATAATTACATAACTTCTGCTGTAACACATAGCACATATAAATTGAGAGCCAGTTTAGTGGTGAAGGCATCAGGCTAGAAATTGGGAGATCTTGAGTTCTAGTCCCATCTTAGGCACAAGCCAGTTGAGTGACCTTGGGCTAGTGCCTCCTCTCTCAGCCCTTTGAAGGAGGGAATGACAAACAACTTCTAAAAGACCTTACAAAGAAATTACAGGACTAGTCCAGACAGTCAGCAGGAGTCACTGACTCAAAGACCCAAAACCAACACCTCAAAAGCTCCCTGAATATTCTTTCTGGAAGTTTCCTTTTTAGAGCTCATTCTCCCCCCTTTTTGGGGGTTTGTTTGCATTCTTGTCCTTGACAAGTGTAATTTTGGGCTGGGCTCGGGAAATGAAAAATATTATTTGATTTGAGGGTCATTGATTATGGGGGAAAATATTTTGCTTGAGTACTCAGATGCATTCATGAGGGAGAGAAAGTTTTACTCTTAAAGAAGTGTTAAGTGGGACAATTTCAGTTGAGAAAAGAAAACAAAGTAAGAGTTACACTTGTTTCACTGATATGGTAAGTTGAATCTAAACAATAAACAATCATGAATACCTACATTGGATCAAATTTCATATGATGTGGAGTAATGTAATAGGAATTTCTAAATTTCTGAAGTTTGAAAACTTTTCTAATTTGCAAACTTTTCTAATCAATATTTGCATTTATTTTCTGCAGAGTTGTATGGCCCTTAATGAAGACAAAACAAATTTGGTGCTAGAGAACACAGTAGCTACTTTTCACAAGGGCAGACTTGATGTTGAATATAGAGCTGCAACTGTACACCTTCGAGCTATGGATGTAAGCCTTCCATTTTGCTACTTGACAAATGAACTTGAGAATATACCTAATGTATGTGTCGTTATTTATAAGAGGGTTGTGCACATAGTTCCTAGATAATAGTAGGTTTGCATTTCCTTTCCTTTGTATGGACAAAATAATGAACATTAAAAACAGCTCCTGTAATGGATTCCTTTGCTTTCTAAAAGAATTCCATCCTTCTACCTCCTGAATTATGGATTAAGATAAGATGGATTCCACCAGTTAAATTTAGGTTTGTCTGAAATTCCACAGCTTTTAACATTGTCTTGTATTATGATAGTATTTTTAATTAATAGAGGAGAATATTTGTAGCTCAGGGTTGAAATAAGGGGTCCTTGGTGCTCTCTGAAATTGGTTGTTTTCTTGCAGACATTTCGTTACCCAAACATCATCAGCAGTATTTTTGTGGGAGTCAAATGCTGCATACATGCCTTCTGCATTTGTCAACTCGGATTTTTTTTTCATGCTATCGTACACATGATGTAAAAATATTACATGAATGTTAGCATCTCTCCTACTTCTGGTTTTCAGTGTGGTGCTTTAGTTCATAAATTCTCATTTATTCATTGCCTGTTCTCTCAATGAATCAGTGCAGCAAATGCATGCTTTTGCCTAACTCAGGATGATAGGAATTGTTTCCCCATTTGATCATTAGAGAATGGCACTATTGCCTTTGGGATATGACAATATGGGGTGTTTTTTTTTAATTCTCTTGCTTCCATGGATTAAATTTTTCTGATGTTATTTTCATGTTTGGGACGAAATTCTACAAAATAGTCTTCAGAATAGATACCACAGTGTTTATTTTAAGAACATACCAATACTATTTTTTCTCTGTACACTGTTCATATCATTCTGATGGGGAACCATAGTTTTTCAGTACCCTACACCCAGGGTAAACGGCCCCATGTTCTTGCTGTGGAAGAAAATGTCAGGCTTACGCTTATGATATAACATAACTGATGGGGAGGTGAAATGTGAGTTGAATAGCATTTCAATTATTTAGGATTATTTATTTGTTAGTTTGTTTATACAACTTATATGTGGCCCATCTCACCTAGAGGTGACTCTAGGCAGATTATAATGAATTAAAAGCAGGAGAAAACATTTGAAATGTTGAAACAATAAATAATGAATACATCGAGTTAACTTTGGCAAGGATGCAGAGAGGGATGATGAATGCATTATCTACAAATGGGATTATGGGATTCCCACATGTTCTTTATATTACCTTTGCTTGGATCAGATATATAAAATGAGGCTCATATTTTTCAGACTAATGAATTCATTTATAAATTTATACCTACAGATTATTTATATATTATTGTACTATTTTGAAAGTTGCTATAAGAGTATTGGGCCGTTATAAAATAGGATGAATTTTTATTTCCCTATGTTATTACTCCAAATTCATGGGAAACACGATTTTCTGCTGTACAGAAAAGTCACAGTTTATCTTTAAGTAAGTCAAAATTCTTTCTGATTTCCATACTTGGGAATACTATATGTAAAGTTTAGTAAATGAGAATAATCCAAGATCATCCTCTGATTTTAGCAAAGCATAGGCACCCCGTTATTTGGGGACAAAGCTACTAGATTAAAATTCAAGACCAGGTTTCTCATTTTTTATATGGAAAAAAGATCCTGATTACAATTTATTAATGTATAATAGTGTTAAATAATGTTTTGATTACATCTACTAACCTAAACTAAGCTTGAAATAAATTATTTGGCATTGTCATCTATAAAGGCATTTTTAATATTTAAATTGTTTTTTCTGGCAGATGTTTAAAATAGATTTGAATTGATTCAAATAGAGTGGCCTGATACTAAATAAACTAATATTGGTTTATTAATTTATCTTTTGGTAATAGATGAACAAAAAGCTGAAATATTGTCTTTTGCCACTAGAGGGCTCCTATTTATACAATGAGATTCTGTCACTGTTTTCTTGATTCATGAAACCCAGAGTTAGAACATATCAGCCATATGAAAACCATCAGCACTTGTACTCAGAATCCTTTCAGGATATTAGTTCTGTTGTCAAATTGTTTGTATTGTTAAGAACTAATGTTCAAGTGTGGCTGCTTCTAATATAAGCCCTTTAATCAAGCTTTTTGCTCTGTACAGGCAGAGAGCACATCTGGGAGACAGCTGTTTGGTATTTGAAGTGTACATTAAAGTGTCATATGGCAATAATATTTCTTCATGAATTTATTTTTCTTTTGAGTAGACTCCCTTATTGTTATCCTCTTCATCTATACTAGCTTATTTGCATATCCTTCTTTAAGTGTGGCATCCAGAATTGGGCAAGATACTCAGGGGAACATCTGACTTATGCAAAATAAAATGAAATCCTCAGTGACTTCTCAGGATTTGATATTGGTTGGGTGCCAGTAAATCAGTGCCAACTCTTAGCAACCACATAGACCTGTGATGGCAAACCTATGGTACACTTTCCACAAGTGGCACACAGAGCCATTTGTGCAGGCATGCGAGCCGCAGGCAAACTTACCTCACTGCGCATGTGTGCGCCTCACAGCTTTTTTTTTTTTTTGGTTGGTTTGAGGCCTGCAAGGCCTTTCAGGCCAAATTATAGGCCCGTTTCAAGCCTCTGGGAGGCCCCAAAAGGTCTCAAACCAGCCAAAAAATCAGCTGTGAGGTGCAGTGCAAGTAAGGGGGTGGTGGTGGGGATTGCATGTGCAGGGGGCATGGGGAGAGGGGGGGGCATACATTGCATTCTGGGTGCTGGCATGTGAGTGTGTGTGCACTAGCACATGCGCAGTTTTTCCACAGGAGCCCAAAAAGGTTAGCCATCACTGAAATAGACCTATTCCCAGATAATTTGTCTCCAACTTGACCCTTCAAGTCTTTTATTGGTTCATCCATCACCAATGTAATTGATTCCTTGTTTCTGGTTGTCCTCTATTTCGTTTTCCTTTCACCTTAATTAGCATTATAGACTTTTCAAGAAAGTTAGATCTTCACGTGTGTCTAAAATATCATAATTTGAGTTTGGTCGCTTGTGCTTCAAGTGAGACGTTGCTTGTTCTAAAGTTGTATTAGCAAGTTTGCAATTGCATTGCACTACTGACTTGCCCCATTAAAATTCCAGTATCTTTTTCATATATATCATTGCCAAGCAAATAGTCCTCATCTTTTATATGTGAACTAGAATTTTCTAACTCCCAAATGAAAAACAAAAACAAAACTTGCATTAATTTGCCTGTTTGTTTTAGTATAGTTTTCTATTAAGTAAAAAAGTAAAAGAAAAGCAGAACAGAAGAGAAAGATACACATTAGTAGCCTCTGATCTTCAAGCAATTAAAGTAAAATTCCAAATTTACCTCTTACTTTATGGTTACAACATAACTGCTTTCTATAATATATCCTTCTTAATCATAACAACTACAAATCATATGTTCATTTTGGGGTTTTATGCAGAAGTCCAAAAGAGGATTTGAAGTTAATGAAATTGGGTATTTGCTGTTGTATGTGCGGTGAAGACTATTCTTAAAAAGTGCCTAAAAGTTGATTTAATAAGTTATTTATCATTATCTCCTGTAGACTGAAAAAATATATTGATCTGTTTTTAAAACATTTTTTCTCCAAATTTTATTGATTTTTTATTAATTACATTCCTTAGTGCTTAATAAACATAGTGTTGTCTGGGTATTTAATTTACTTAACAATTCTGATTATATTCTTAATCTCCACCCCTTTTTTCCAACCACTGGTAAAATAGTTTCCATGTTTGATAGTATTCTGTGTCTTCTTTCTGCTCAATTTTCAATGTCAATCTATCCATTTCTGCACAGTCTATCTTCTTAATTATTTCTTCATCTCACAGTGTTTCTTCATTTTTCCAATATTGTGTGAATATAATCCTCGCTACTATTACAACATGTAATATTAAATACATACTTTGCTTATCTAACTTTTCTGATATTATACCTAATAAAAACAGGCCAGATTTAAGATTTATATGATTCCCTATCTTTTCTAGCCACATGTGTATCATTGCCCTTTTTTAAAATTTTAGCACAAGTCCACCACATATGATAAAATGTGCCTGTCTTTTAATTACATTTCCAACATTTGCTAGACACATTTTTAAACATTTCAGCTAACCTAGCAGATGATGTTTTTAAAATATTGAACGGCCTATAATTTCCGTATTGGCTTTTCATAAAACTTATCCAAGAAAAATTTCAGTGGATTGTCTGTTTTGAATGAAAGCTGCATGTTTTCTGCATGCTTAGTTCTTGATGCCCAAGAAGTAAATAGTAAGAAGCAGAAAATTTAGATTGTACTTTTACTGGATGCATCTGTACATTTTAATTTAGTTGGTTGGCTTGGGGCCCCCAATGGGGACATTTTTCACTGGAGATGGTTGGTGGGATAAGAAGACTTCATCCCTATGCTGTTGGTTCCCTTGGTTTTAATTTTTATGTAACTCTTCTTAATTTTAATTGTTTTTATATTTATCTTTTTACTATTTATTAAGCTGCCCTGGGGTGCCTTATCAGTAAGATAGATGTAATATAATTTTAGTAAATAAATGAATAAAAATAAATCAGGAAGTGACATGGATCTAATAATTAGGTGACTAGGTAGACCCAAGGGTCCTGTCTACTGCATCAAGAATTATGGGATCTAAATCTTTCCAACTAACTGAATAATACTGTGATTCATTTGTGTTAAGTAGGCATGCCCAATTGGAATTCAGCTCCTAGCAGTTTCAAATGATTTTATCTGTCAGATTCAAGAAAATTCTTTACCCAGCCTTTAGATCCATCGCTTCCTAGAGGAAAATGGGGCATCTTAAAAAGAACCATTGGCACGTATCTGTCGAGGCAACAAGGTTGACCCCAGAGAACCACTGCCGATACATAAATGTTGGGCTAAGCGAGCAAATAGCCTGCCTTGGCTTGAGGCAACTTCATCTATAATTTCTATAGTTGAAGAATAGTTTGAATTAAATCTATATGAGTTGATGTGCCATTTTATCAAATTTTATCTTATAATATGGGTATTATAGTTTGTCAAGTGCTTGTTATCCATGACTGTTAGACTCTCAAATAGATAACAAACTGATATGACAGCCATTAGATATTACTGCTGGACTTGTATCAATAAGTGTATTGCATATTCTGAAGGCTTAACTCTGATAAATGTTTGGCAGGGTTTTCTTGAAACCAGTAAAGCTTTCAGAAACACAGTTTAGCCTTTTGTTTTAATTTCTTCTATTTACTCCAGCAACAAATTTCTGACCTGGACATAAAGAAGAATTCTCTTTTAACAAAGTGTAAAAGTTTACTGAGCAATGCTAAAAAAGTTTGTAACCTTGGTATGGATCAAAACCTTCCAGAAGATGTCTACAAGGTAAATATCACAGTAAAAAGATTACACAAACACACACACACACACACACACACACACACACACAGAGAGAGAGAGAGAGAGAGAGAGAGAGAGAGAGATGCAGAATATTCTTCTACCCTTTTCCTGAGAAACCTACAGTACATGTAAAATAAGCTCAAAATGCAAAATTGTCCCTGACATCAATGAGACATCAAAATAAAACAATTAAAACAATTGTATTGGACGCAGTTTAATGTAATGGCTGAAAAATTAAATAAGATTCCATAAGCACTAGAAGGCCTATACTTAAGAATGCCTTTTTTAAAGTTGTTTTACTTTAGATGTCAAGAACACCAAGAAAACCTCAAAAATAGATTCAGAGAGTGAGCTGTACAGATAGCCCTTGACTTACAACCATTTGTTTAGTGACCATTTGAAATTATTACAGCACTGAAAAAGGTGACTTATGACTGTTTTTCATACTTACGTCCATTGTAGTATCTCCAAGTCACATGATCAAAATTCGGATGGTTAGCAACAGGCATGTATTTAGGACAGTTGCACTGTCCCAGGGTCATGTGATCACCATTTGTAATCATCCCAGCCAGCTTCCGACAAGCAAAGTCAATAGAGTAATTCAGATCTCTTAAGAACTGCATGATTCATTTAACAACTGCAGTGATTCATTTAACTAGCAAAAATGCCATCAAATGGGGCACAACTCACTTAAAAACTGTCTTGCTTAATGTGAACATTTTGGGCTGAATTGTGGTCATAAATTGTATAGAATTTTATACATTCAGACTAGCATTGTGGATTGTGTTTAGATGAATTAAAGCCCATGAAGCCCCAGAAGTACTCACTAGGTAGATCTTCAGCATCTGGCTGATAGTTGGTCTACAATATTTTGAAACTTCATTTTGGCATAACTTTCAGTGACAAACTTTTTCTTATTAAATACAGATAATCCAAAAGAATGCATTGTTCGTAGATTACCTCTAGCTGTCATCATATCTGTAGGTCACAAAGGCTGCTTGAGGCTGTTTTTCAAATTCATGAATGTTTCCAGTTATCAATTCAATACTTTTATGCTCTCGTCTGATTGAAAAATCAAGGAGACATAGAATGTAATGCTATTGGGTTTCAAGTTTCTAAAACATCATTCTCCATTAGTATTTCTTCAAATTGCACTCAAATCTTTGCACTTGTTGCTCACAAAGCCTCCAGTAGATGAGTAGATTTTAATAAACATAAACAATTATCTATCCTTATCCATATTAATAAGGATTGGCCACCAGAACCATACACTTAGATTTTGGGCAAAGAGAGATGCTGTAATACATGTTGTTCCTTGTCTACTACTGAAAATTTCCTGAAATATTGTAGGCATTATTGTGAAATAATGTCATTTTATTTTTCTATTTTATCTTGCACAAACACCCATTTATTTTTCTATTAATCATGATTCCATTGAGTAATTGTATTTTTGTATATGCAGCAGGAGTCCAAAAACTTCTAGTTGGCAGCATAATGTATAACTTATAAGTTGTATAATCAATAGCTTATCAGAAATTCACAGTGTCACTTATCATGCTCACTACTATTTTCCTTTATTCTCTGAAGAATATGATAAGAAGGATCACAACTTTCTTGGCAACTGGATAACAGCATGTTGCTAAAGCTGTATTGGATGGTAGCGTTGCACAATTATGTGAATAATCCCCCTTTCCACTTCAAGCGATAGAGGAAGCTTGAACTTGGACTTTGGTAATGGAATGCTACAATAAATCAATGTCCTTTTTTTTTTTTTTTTTGAAGTGAGTAGTGAACATCTATCACAGTTGTTCCCTTCTGCCATCTCATGTTTATGAAAGGTTATCTGTATCAAGGCAGGGAGATAGAAGCAAGCAGCTTGGGTTTTGCTAGCAAAAAGGCCATGCATGCACGAAGGAGCATCCTAAACATCAACAGATGCTTGTGCAGAGTAATTTATCTTATTTTACACAAATCTTTTTAGGCATTCCTGGACCTTCCAAGCACAGTGGATGAAATTGATGCTCTGCTGAATGAGGAGAAAACAAGAGCTTCATGTTTCACAGGCCTTAATGCTTCAGTATGTATTCCTAGTATTGCATAATAGTATATTACGTGCATTATGTAGAAATTAATAATCACTGTCTTCGTCAGCAGTAGCAGCTAAGTAGCAGGAATAATGTAAATATTATTAGAATTTTAAATAATGTATTCAAGGTCAAATATATTTTGTGCTGCTGTTCTTTTAAAAACGAAGAAGAAAAAACATGATAGGAAATTAGGAAAAAAGAGCTCAATTTACTAGATACCAGTTTTAATTTAAATGAAGTAATCTCTTTCAAGTACCTCCCCCTAATCATATTTGAATAATACCTTTCCACAATTGAAGAAACGAACAGTTCTCATATATAATATACTGTAGAGAATTGAAGAAATGGGGGCAGAAGTTAGCTTTCCAACCATACATTTCTTTTAACTCAAAAAATTATTGCTGCCACGATGATGGGTTTGATCAGAACTTGTTTAGAACATACAAGTCAATGTTAGGTGTAGCTATATCTATATAAGTCACAGCCTTGGATTCTTCTTGCTTGAAATAATAATATGCAAGCAAGCTACCAAGTTTAATATAATCTAGGTGTGTGAGAAATAATTAGTATTTTTTCTTCAGATGTGGATAGTTAACATTCTGCATTGTCCATTCAAACGATAATGCCTTTTAACCAAAGCAGCCTTTTCTTCCCAGGTTGTTGAAGAGTATAATAAAAGAGTTAAAGAAATAGCACAGATGACAGCAGAACTGGAGGGGAAAAAAAAGGAACTGAACAGCTATAGAAAAAATATTTCACAGGTATTCCTGTTATTACTTTCACTATTCTTTTTGTCCTGAAATAAATATCCACTAAGGAATTACATTGTAAGATGCAGCATAAAGGATTATTGGCCCTAAAATTATTGTTTTGTTGTGTGCCTCCCAGAATTACTTTAAGTGAGACAGGTAAATTGAATTAACAAATAAATACAAAAACATACAGGGAAAAATGGTTTGTAACTTGCCCAGAGTGTAAGTGGGTGGCCATATTTTTTTCTAAGAGGGAGGGAGGGAGGGAGGGAGAGAGAGAGAACTGAACAGCAAACTTGAGCAGTATGGCCTTGTGTTCATCAGTACGTCTAAAGAGAGATAGAATGGGGGTTTCACCTCCTAGTGGCCACTTTATAAATAAGTTAGCTTGATGATGGTATCCATTGATGCGCATGAAGATTACCAAAGTGCAATGTGAAAGTGCAGAATCAACACGGTGCAAGGCAACACAGCCTACATTTACTTTCCATGGAGCAATGTTGATGCACGGATTAGTTTGAAATAAGCAATTCAGACCCTGGATACATCGTTATTTCGGACCACTGTGCAGGTAGGTAAGTAATTAAGATCACTATTAATTAGTAATATATTGAATACTTTATTCTGGCATATTCTGTACTACTGGTGATAAAATCTTTATCACCACTTCTGTTATGACCAGTCTTTTTTTTTTTTTTTAGGTTAAGGAAAGGTGGTTGAACCCTTTGAAAAAGATGATTGACAAAATAAATGAAAAGTTCAGCAGCTTTTTTAGCTCTATGCAATGTGCAGGGGAGATAGATCTTCATGCAGAAAATGAGGTATGATTATAAAAGCGATGCATTCCTTTATAGAGGGGAAAACACCTCCCACATGCATACATTATGTCTTTTCAATTAAACAATAGGCAGTATGGTGCATATTTTTACAGCTTTGTATACTGTCATTTAGGAAAAAAAACTATCCAAGGCAATAGCTTGTTTCCTCGGGGATATATATCCTTTAAAAAAAATTATCATATTCCTAGTTGAATTCTGGCAGTCCACGTATAAGATCTGTGAATAATGTGGACAAGATGCAACTTTAATAGTGGTTTCTACTGCAACACTGAATACTAACTCCACATTAAAAGCTAACAGAGCTCTACCTTACTAGGTAGAGCTACTGCGCATCAATTTGGGGACAGGTGTTTTGAACTATATTTTCCACAATCCTTTGCTACTGGCCATATTGGCAGAATTGATGCAAATTGCATTCTAAAACATCTATTGGGCATTAGTGAGCTGCTTTTGCCATAAGTAGAAAGTAATGGCACATAGAGCAGGCTGAAAGGAATAGGGTAAGCCAAATGGAGTCTGGCTCATTTTGCCTAATTGAGGTCTGTTGAGCAAAATAAATAGATGCAGCTACAATATATATTATTGTAGCATGGCTGGATCAGGAATTCTGGGAGTTGAAGTCCAACAGGTCATAAAGTTGTCATAGTTGCCCACTCCTGCACTAGAAGACTGGATTGCAAATTTCACTGGGTGACTCTGACTCTACCTAGCCTCTGTCACCGAATTGATTTGTTACTGAGGTTTTGATAGATTAGGGAATTGTTCATATAAGCCACCCTGAGTTGAAAGAGAAATGTTAGCATGAAAATACAATGAATGTGGATAGTTAACAAGAATCAGGTGTAAGTCAGATGCTGCACATTAGTATGCTTATCAAGTCAAAACTTGTGTTCCACCAAGAATGTTTCTTAGCCCCAGTTCCAGCAATAAGAAGCTCTTCAGAGAATCCATAAGTACTCATAGAATACTTTGAATATACATGTGCTATTTACTGTCATCTATCTGTCATATTAAGCATTTCATTTTGGGAGAAAAATAAAGTTCATTCATCCTAGCAAATTTACTGATTACTTGAGAATAAAAAGTAGTGCAGATTGTGGTATCGATCAAAGCCTGGAGACTCCAAAAGCTTTCTTAGCAGTAGTGCCTGATTCTTTAGAATCTCTGGGCACATTCTTCTTGGCCTTAAGCAGCCATTATCTGCATGGCACATAGCTTTAGCGTCATCCATTGGGTTGGCCTAACAGTCCTTTGCACCTCATTTGATTGGTTGACTGAAGCACTGCAGGGATCAAAGAAATACAAAACTAAGGGGCCCCTGCTGGATGTCTAAATCTGTTTTTAAAAAGAGAAACAATCTGTTACATCCATCATCTCAATTCCTCCTCACTTAGGTATTAAAATAATTTAGCAATAACATCACTTTCTCCAAGATACCAGGACCATCGCTATTTCAGCCACCTTTTCCCATCTATTGCTCATTGCAGACTTTCCTGTAGGTGCTGATCTCTTTTAGAATTAATGCATCTTAAAATGCCATTATGCCTCTTGTGATCCATATAACTAGCAGTGATGCTTGCTGAGCCAATTCTACTTCAGAACAGGGTATGCAATCCTTGATTCCTACAAGGTGCTTGTGTCTGACCTAAAGACCAGGACATGTCTGACCTAAAGTCCAGGACATCACTCTGTATGTAAGATTTTCCACAATTCCTCCTTGCCTTTGTACCCTCTGCTTTTCTTTTCTTTTTTAATTTAAGTTTTATTTGGGTTTTCACACATACAAAATACAAGTAAAACATCTTTTTTGAAAATAGCATGGTCCCAGGTTGAACTTCTTTATACAGACACAAAACTCAATTTCATGTTCCTTTTTGTATTCTATTCCATATCTTATACTATTTTACATTTTCTATATAGTTTTTCCCCTCTTTTGATTTTCTCAATTTTAATTTGATTATCTCATCTCAATTCAAATCATTATATTTATACTTTTGTCTGTTCTGTTTCAATTTCATATTATCTTTTCTCATTAAACAAGTTTTCTCCTGTAGTTACTAATTAGAGTATGACACCTTTATATCTTTTAATTACATCCATTCAACTCTTATTTAAATTTCAATATATACCTTAAGGTTATGACCTTCAATATAATACATAATACATAACTTCCAATCGAATTCTGCTTGGTACATTCTTATAATACACACTATATTCTTTTTAAAAAAATGTAATTATATGTAATTATAAACCCTCATTCCATTCCAGTTCAGTTCTATCATTAATAATCATTAAAATCTTAACATCTTTAACACTTCTTTTCAATTAAATATCATACTTCCTTAAAAACACATATAATCTCCATAATTAATTTTCCCTTATTTCTCTTTACATATGTTTTATAAATCATTAAATATACTTTTTATTACATTTATTGACAAGCATTCCACTGAATTACAATAGCTACTTTATCAGACATTTTAATCATACATTGTTTCATATTTTCTAAAATTATTTCTGTTTCTAATATAACCATACTATCTTATGTACCTTTGCAGAATCCCCTTTTCCATTAAATTTTCACCCATTATCTCTAAATAGGCCCTGTTTCTCTGTATTTTGTTTCTGTCCTTTATGACTTCTTTTCCTTTCTTTCTTCCCTCTCATCTTCTCCCTCCCCTTTTTACCCCCTTGTCTCTCTATTTCTAATTCTCTCTTCTGCATTTCCCTCTTCTGTTGCTTTCTGATTTTATACTTATTTTTCACTCTATTTTTTTTTTGGAGTTGTTTTTCCCAATCTTAAACTTTCCATTCTCTTTCCCCCCTTTCCTCCCCCCCCCATCTAAGATTACTTGTTCATTAAAGATGGCTTCTTCTTTGTCGCAATCTTCTTGTTCTGCGGGCATTTCTTGTTGTTTCTCATAATTCCAAATCTCCATTTCTAAAAGCTGAAATACGAGGCCAAAAGAACCTCTCCCTTCTTGTGCATCTTCTTTGTACTTTTTAAGTTCCATTTTCAGTTCTTCTAAAAGTGGAGCCATTTTAAACAGTTTTAAACAACCACCTGATTGATTTTAGTCATTCAAAACAATAACCAAGAATCCAGAAATCATCAAGTAATCCAGATAGTCCCGAGTTATATCTTCTTATTTCTTTTTCGACTTTCTCTTCCTGGGGTTTTTGTTGCGATATTTCAGTTAGAATGTATCTTTTGGAAGTCTTGTTGAGATTTTGCTATAAGTTCTTTTTTAATTCCAGGCAGTCTCCTCCCTTCCAGATCCTGCCCTTTTATTCTTCCTCTCTCCTTTCCTGTTTTCAAAAGCTTTTAATTATCCAGAAATCTTTATTATCCCTTTGACTTTTTATTTTCAGCATTAAATGCCTATTGATGTCAAAGTGGATTTTTTTCCAATTTCTTACTTAGGTCTCTTAGCTGTCAGTATAGGAAAAGGAGAAAAAAACACCAAATCTTTTCCCTTTTCTCTCTCCTTCGCAGCTTAAAAATCTTCTTAGGGAATAATGTTGTTGTTTTTTAATAGTTTCATTTCCAGGGTACCTTATTTGTTGCTTTTGCTGTTTGACCTGGTCAACCAAAACTTTCTCCTCTTATCTTCCTCCTGCACATTCTTTTCCGGTCGAGTTCTTCTTTGTGGTGGCCATTTCTGACCACTGCTGCAACCGCCTTTGGGAAAGGGAGTAATGCCCAGCTGGGGAGGAGAGATGCGGCTCTCCTCAACCCTGCAGGCAGTCTCCCCCCCTCTTCACCACCTCTACGGGGTAGCTTAGCCCCAAAGCCAGCCGGCTCGGGGTGCTCCAGCAGCAAGCACGGATCTAAGCCTCGCAGAGACGAGGTTTCAGTCTGTCGCCGAAGAAGCTCAAACCAGAAGCCCTGTACCCTCTGCTTTTCTACTGGTCTTCCTTGCTGCCATCACCACCAGGTGGCTCTGCTAATTTCCCAATAGCACTTTGGTGATTGAGCTTATCAAACCTGTTGCATCTGTTTTGTAGAACCTTCACCTATTTACCAAATAGGGCAGATTTTGTATTTTACAGCAAAAGGAAATACTTAGCACCAAATCTCTATTCCCTTTATCTCACTGTGTGGTTGCTTTGTTCTAGTTTCACAGCAGACATCACACTGGTCTTGCAATTAATTTCTTTTGCCATGTTCAGTGACAGATAGCCAAAGTTTTGTCATCTTGACTTAATTTTCTGTTTTCTTCTCACCTAGAAGTATTGAAAATTAGTCCTATTATCTGTAAAAGTTTACCTCATGGCCATTTATTTCAGCCATTGCTCCAGGCAGAATTTGTTGGTGTTTTCATAGTTGACACAAAATGTTTTTTCAAGCGTTTTTCCAATCTCAACCCATTTTAACCTCCTTTGTTACCACTCTAAAATCATTCTTTAATTCTCATAACTCTGTCACATACTTCTTGAAAACAATGCTGTAGTATACAATATTTTTGTCATCAGAAACCCAACATGGGGTTGTGGTTGTTGGGAACTCATGGTCAACTCTGTAGCTGAATAAGTCAGATGTCTTTTATGATGCTGAATTTTTTTTCTAACATAATCTATTTTTTTTCTAACATATCAATTTTACAATCCTGAGATGTCCAGTGTAACTGGTGTACTGGGGTATGCACAAATATATGGCCCAATTCTTTTTATTACAGCCCATCTTTGTCTGCTTCTTAGGATGGATATAAATGGAAGAAGTCTCATCGTGGTAATTTGTCATTTGAATAGTCAAAATAACCTTCATATCTTATCAGTTGTTGAAGGAATTGTCCTTTGTAGATATTAGAAATCATTCAAATTGTGATGTGATCCATTGTTTACACGTACCCTTTCTGATACAATTGTGATCTGTAGTCTTGGTGTCAATCTACCAACTTCATTAGTACTAGTGTCCGTGTAACTGAGATGTTTCCTATGGCCATGTAGAGAGAGATGGAGGCAGCCTTGAACAAGGAATGTAAAGTGATTAATTAAACACCTGCTCAGCCCTGAGGAAGAGAAACCTGCCAGAAAGAAACTTGAGATAACCTCACTTTATCTTTTTTATAAGACAAACAAGGCAAAACTTGGTGAAGCTCTCAAGCTTTTGTTTCTGGTTTGTAGAGTTTCAGTAGTTCTTGTGTCTGTTTTTTTACCTGGTCAGCACATAGGAGTGAGGAGCTTATTGGTAATAAGAGCAGTATTAAAATAATTGTGTTACTTTCCCCCAGTAATTAAAAACTTTCTATCCATACATACATATCCATATATACATAGCCTAAAAATGTAGAGGGTCTTCAAGTAGTAAACCATGCATTCATGAAACTCCTCCTTCCCTCTCAAGTACTTTGTGAGTATCTATTATCCTTTGCAGTGGCCTTAAGGGCACTGAAGCAAGAACGGGGATGGGACAATTCAACACAGCCAGCTTGCTGTGGCCAATTTTCTGCAGCCAACTCACCACGGCCAGCTTGCTGCAGGACAACTGGCCGTGGGATTCACTTAGTTCTTTTTGTTTTTGTTGACCACATTTTCATCAAAATTATTTTATCTCTTATATCAAAGGAAACCATTCAGGTGACTACCAACTTTTGTAATGTTTTGATGAATAATAAAAAGAACTAATCCTGCATTGCATTGTCCTGGGTCTAGTTGTCCCATGGCAAGTTGGCTACAGAGCGTAGGCTACAGCAAGTTGGCTATGGCAAGTTTGCTGTGGTGAATTGGTCACGGCAAGTTTTCATAGCCCTGGCAGGAACAGCGTTCCATTCATATGTAGTTAGGCTCTTGTCTTCGATTTAAAAGTTCACCTCAACTATGAAAGAGGGTTAATGCACAAATAAATAATCCATATGTATGAATACACAGATGATAACTCAGAAAACCAGATAGAAATAAGCAATCTGTTCTTCTAAAGAAAAATAACATATTTTTGACATAATTTTCATTTACTTTGCTGGAGGAACTGCTAGGAAATGTACAAACCAGATGTAACACTTGCTTGAGAACACCCAGTGAGATATCTGACTTTGATAACAAGCAAGGTGAATTATTTTTCCATGCTGGATTTTCCTTCAGCCGGTGAAGAAAACACTAGTAACGGTGCCTTCACTTCTTCCCCTGTTCTGTTGCCCCAGCAACAACTTAAGGCACCAACAAGAGAAAAATAAAGGGAGTATTTATTCTGAAAAATAATTAGGGAAATATTTATTGTTCAGAAGGAGTTTAAAGATTACTTTGAGGAAGCATTTGAACAATATGCAAGAGATGTGTGTATTTTATTTGTTGCTGATACAGGTTGTCCTTGACTTACGATCACGATTGAGTCCAAAATGGTTGCTAAGTGAGAAATTTGTTAAGTGTGTTTTGCCCCATTTTACGACTACACAGTTGTTAAGTGAATCACCACAATTGTTACATTAGTAGCACCGCTGTTAAGTGAATCTGGCTTCCCCATTGACTTTGCTTGTCAGAAGGTGGTCACAAAAGGGGATCACGTGATCCCGGGACATTGCAACCGTCATAAATATGAACCAGTTGTCAAGCATCTGAATGTAAATCACATGACCGTGGGGATGCTGCAACAGTCATAAGTATGAAAAATGGTTGTAAGTCACCTTTCTCAGTGCCATTTGTAACTTCAAATGGTCACTAACTGAACTGTCAAGGTCTCTCTGTACTGTACTGCATTGTTTCTTAATTGTGTTTGTATTCTTTTTGTACCTCCATAGGTAGCTTCAGCATGGATCTCCAGCCATTCCATTCCATTCCATTGCTAGAAGCCCTGCTCGGCAATGGGTGTAAAGGGCACACTGGCTTCATCACCCAGTTCCCTAATCTTGTTTTTCATTCACATTCACATCAGTGAAGTCTTCCTGCAGGATTGACACTTAAACACAGCATAGAGACTAGGGAGTGGTATGGGGAAAGACAACAACGTTGTCTATGGTTCAGTGTTGCTTATACATTTCAGTACCCTGCCCACGTTGAATGCCTGAACTGGAATTTAGGGGAAACTCAACTATGGTTGAACTGGGATATCAGAACTGACAAACCAGATTTGCCACCAGACATGTCTGACGGGTCTGAACAGTGAACCATAGTTAAGTTTCCTTCTGAGCCTGCAAGAGGCACAGTCTTCGGGTAGCTCAGTCATCAGGAATTAAAGTGAGAGCAAACTAGAGATTGATATCAAGGTGTGCAGCTGTTGCTTGCCATATGCTTGGAAGCTCAGGGCTTGATCAAACCTTGCCTTGGTGTGACATTTTCTCTTTTCAATTGATTAAGTCAGAGAATGTATATATTTGAAGATAATCTGAACACAAGCATTTGTGTTTTGACAGGAGGAATATGACAAGTACGGGATCCGGATTAGGGTCAAATTCCGTAGCAGCACGCAACTTCATGAGTTGACTCCCTACCATCAGAGTGGAGGAGAGAGAAGCGTTTCCACAATGTTGTATTTAATGGCTTTGCAGGAACTCAACAGATGCCCTTTCAGAGTTGTTGATGAAATAAATCAGGTATGTATGCAGGCATTGGAAACAAAAGCTTCCTTCACTGTATTCGGTAGCAGAGAGAAAATATTGCTGTTTATTTCTTTTACAGGGAATGGATCCAGTTAATGAAAAGAGAGTCTTTGATGTGGTGGTAGAAACTGCCTGCAAAAAGAGCACTTCACAATACTTCTTTATTACACCAAAGGTGTGTGGCTGAAAACTCTGCATCTTATATAGATTTTATACAGACAAACCCATCTATAGCTTACCTTTTTCCATTTTGCATGAATCAAATTATAAATCACGTTTTATTCTATCCCCAGCTGCATAAATAGTATGTACATTCATACTTATCCTTAACTTAATTTTTAATGTTTAATCTTTCCTTTACATAAGTGGGGTTTTGTTTTTTGTTTTTGCAATTTTGAAGCTGGAACTGAACCGATTCAATTTGGAGAAGTGTGTATATTGATTATTATTATCTGATTATAAAAATATGAAGTCACAGCTGCCAGTTTTTTTTACTGATGTTGGTCTTCATACTCACTGAGTTCTTCCCAAGAACTTAGGATGTCATAATGGATCAGCGTAGTGTGTGTGTGGGTCCAAGCAGTGCGGCCTTTTGCAATTGACAGATGGAAATTTTGTCAATGTGCAGATTTTCTAAGTGACTAATTATTACTTTTATTTTATCCCACCTAATAATACTAATGCATTGGTCTAATAATTGTGAATGATCCCTCTATTAAAAACTACAGACCAATAAAAGTTTACCCCCTTTCTGATTGTAAATTTGGATTTCCTTATTAGAAAATAAGTAATACTGATAATATAATTAATACTTTACCCAAAACTTATAAAGATTAGCTTTAAGTCATAGGTATCCAACCTTGGCAATTTTAAAATGTGGGCTTCAGCCCCCAGAATTCCCCAGCCATTATCATGGCTTGGTGGCAAATTAAAAGAAAGGAAATCAGATAATGAGAAATTGGCAATCAGAGTCTGAACAGTTCTTTCCTTTTCTCCGATGACATTTTACTTCATGGTACCTGTTTGGAGCCACTTCTTTGAAAATTACTTACATTTTTAAAAGGTAGCATGGTAGTAGATTCAGTGGCATCCACAGGAGAGACATCGTCTTATAAATACAAAATCTTTCCAACCCAATAGATAAGTTATAACATTTATGTGATGATATCCCTAAGCATGTTACATTGTCTTCTCCCCACGCCAGCCAGAGATGCAAAACTAAAAATGTTTCCTAAAACTCCAGGTAGTTTTATAAACAAAATGTAAGCAATCAGAAGTAACTATCCCTGAGCATAATAAAATTAACTGTCAGGCAACTATGTACAGGAAGTCCTTACTTAATAACTGTCCTGTTTAGCGACCATTTGAAGTTATGACATTGCTGAAAAAGGAACTTTTTAAATATAAATTTTATAAATTTTCTATTAATTACATTTCAGTGCTTAATAAACATTGTATTATCTGGATATTTAATTTGCTTAGCAATGCAGATTCCATTCTTACTCTCCACCCCTTTTTTTCCCAACCACTGGTAAAATAAGTTCAAACAAAAAGGAACTTTATGTCAGGTCTTCACAGTTATGACTGTCACAGCATCCCTGCAACCACACGTTTGAGATCTGGGCACTTTACAACTGGTGGGCGTTTATGACCGTTGGCAGTGTCCTGAGGTCATGTGATTTCCATTTACGTGTTTCACAGCTGCTTCCAACAAGCAGAGTCAATCGAGATGCTGGCAGCAAAACATCAATTGCTGGTTTATACTGTCAGTCCCAGTTGTAGTTGTTAAACGAGGACTACCTATACACCCTAACAATTCTGCCTCGTAAAGTATTATTAGTGTATTTGGAGAAGAGTTTTAGAATAGATAATTTATACTGAAAAAAAATTATCTTGTGGGAAGCTATACCTCCATCAATTTCTTGCCAAATGTGGTGCTTGTTTTACTGATAGTCTTATGAATATCCACTTACAATAATGTTGGTTTCAAGCTATTTTGAAGCTGCTTTGTTTTCTAGCAAGAATTTTAGGAAACATATTTATTGATATTACTCCAATTTTGCTTGTGCATATATATTTTTTTTCCGATAAAAGTTATTAGCTCAACAACCAAGCCTAGAGAGAGCATCAAAAACCTCTCATGCTTCTTTTTCTGTCTCCTTTATTTATATATTCTGCCAACAGCAAAACTTCTCTTGGCTGCAACTGTTAATATCTTAATATAAAATATATATTTAATTGATCCAGCCCTGGAGTTGAAAGGGATTAATAGTAACAATAGCTCACAATTTATTTTGCATATATTATATTACCTAGCTAACAATATTGTCTATATTGTTGATCCAAATAGAATAGCAATACCAGAGAAAAATGAAGTGTAGCTGCTATGGGAAACATTTAGTATATAATAACTAATAACCAAGTATGCTTGGTAAAGAGTAAATAATAAGATAAGATAATAAAATAATAATAAGATAACAAGACACCTTTTTTCTTGCTTCTTAACAGCTGTTGCAGAATCTCAGTTATGGAGAAAAAATGACCGTATTATTGGTCTACAATGGATCATCTATGCTAGAATCAAGCAAGTGGGACTCAAAAGCTTTCTTTAGAAGGAGGCGGAGATTTCAACCATGATTAGCAGTAAAATATATATTCCTTTCTGAAACGGAAAAGAAAAATATTTGGAAAGATCAAGAATGAATGTATTTCTTAAAAGCACAATTTCTCTCTTGTAAAAGCCATTGATAGCCAATGTTTTATAAGACTAAAACACTCACCTTTTCTTTTATGCCTATTTTTCTCTGAAGAACTGTAGATACCAATTTGGAAGACAAATTGATAAATTGAAAGGATGTATTTTCTTACCAGCGAATCAATTGTTTTAGATGAATTTGGAAAAAAATGTTCTGCCAGTTGTTCATAACTTGGAAGCTTTAATTACACTTGTTACAATATGGCCTTATAAATACAGCCTTTGGATTAACTGATAAACTGGTAGGTTCACCAAATCTGTTCAAGAAAGAAGTTTAACTATTTAAATATCTGTTCTATCTAACTATGGGATACTGAACTATGAAAAATAGTCTTTCCAATTGCTGCTAAATGATGATAACTTCAAGCATTTCTGAAATATATAAAATATTCAGTGTCTTTTTATCCTAATCTTAGAAGCAACACCTGCTTGACTGGTAATTTTATACATGGTACCATTCTTACAGCATGGTACATACTTATATTTTGTTCCATATGTTTGTCTTTTTTATAGGGAAAAATGCCAAATCTCTTTTTATATAATAAATATATATATGGGAAATAGTAATTTATTTTCAGTTCTTTAACCCCTGTTAATATGGCAATAGAAACTGACTCAATATTTAAAGTATTTCTAATAATCAAAAATATCCACTAAGGATCTCAGTCATAAAATCATTTTTGATTAGCATATCTAAAGCATAAATGCTTTGAGACATGAAATTTGTCTTTCTGAACCTAAGGAGCAAGGTCCGTCTCCAGTAGAGAATATTATAGGGAAGGGGAGAAATGTGTTTCTATAATAATTGTTTAAACTGCATTTTAAAAATATGAGAGACTAAGTCCCACGAGACACCATGATTAATGTTTAATGCAATAAGTGCAGAGGTATGGGTATTCAAGAGTATACACCTTTCTAATCAGTTGATTTTCATTTTATAAAAACCCAAAAGTTTAGCTTTGGGACCAGACAGATATAGAGTTCATATTTTTCTCCATTGTCATCTAAGAACTTTTCTGTTTGCTTACATCACTTCCTTTTCCTGGAACTCTAATGCGCTTATTACTCCCATTTGTAGACAGACACTTAGTGTCTCTTTGTCTGTAGCATTGTGTGTGCCCTTGCAACACGGTTGTTCTTTCATCATGCAGCTCAGTAACAGATCTGTTGGGAGGAGCTAACAATGAGAAGGAAATTCCAGCCAAGTTGCTGAAGATAGTGTAACTAAGGAACCAGCTGTTTGTAACAGCAACAAGGAACCTCATGTTCATTTTAAATTATATTGCAAAAATTAAGAATGCTTACAGCAACCAAGGGTAGTTTTTGAAGGTGCAGGGAAAACATTTGAATTAGGTTCATTTCAGTTCCCTTACTCGATTGCTGTGCTCAGAGTATTTGAATTCATATATAGGTTTTCTTTTAATATTGAACTTATTCTAGTTTACCACCAGAGGCCACTCTAATCCCATCTGTGGGAGATCTGTTTTGCCATGTGGATTTGGAAGGTTTTAAAGGAAGTTGGGGAAGGGGGGAAGGCAGGTAAATGCCTTCAACTTTCAGAATGAAAGGAAGGTCTCTTTTCCCATCTGAAAGCTATTTGGGACTGCGTTTCATTATAGCAATTGGGAATGTTAGACCAATTACATCAATGGTGGCCACTTCTGGAAATCTGAGCCAGAAAAGGGGGGGGAAAAAAGGAAGGAAACACTGGTCCTGTGGAAATAGGAATAGCACCAAGGGTTGCTAAATTGCAGATAAGATAGAAACTGGATTCCGTCAACACTTTGAACTCCTGGAAATACGCTTATCTTTCTGTGTGAAATAGATAAATATGGACTGATTTACTTGTTTACAACTTTAGAGAAGGAAGGGGGTTCTAGGCTGTTCCTGGATGGAGAGAGTTGCAAATAGGATTGCAGGTAACAGAGGTTCAATAATAGTCTGTAAAATAGCCTAATTAGCCTTTATAATGTTGGGCAACATTTTGACATCAAGGTGTTGAGGTATAATTCCCATATTCCTTTACCATTCAGTATGTTGGCTAGAATTGCAGGGAGTTGAACTTCAAGACCATCCAGACAGTACCAAAAAATTGCATGACCCAAGCTTATGATTTCCTGTGATGGTCTACACCAAGGCTGTCAAACTCACGGCCTGTGGCCTGGATGCGTCATGCACCGGCCATGCCCATGGCCGGTTTAGCAAAGGGGGGGGGGGGAGAGTCACAATAGGTCACATGATGTGATGACGTGAGTTTGACACCCCTGGTTTATAGTATGTGGTGCTTACAGTCGTTCCCAACTTCATATACCATAGTAATTCTCAGCTAACAGATCGAATGTATTTGGAGGAGCTGAAATTAGGAAAGATTGCCCTAAAGTGACATCCTCTTGTGCAATCATTGTGTTTTCCTCGGCAAACTTTTGCATCCCTTTGTTTTTTTTGCCATTATAAACAGAAAGTTATTCTAGCTGGATGCACTTATGCCCCCCAAAATAATGGAGTTCTTGTTACAGTATCAACACACACATACAAACTTGCATTTCACATATATATGAATTAGATAAGCTAGATTTTAGGCATGGGCACTTGGAATCATTCTTTGTACGTTGTCGGAAGCTGGAGTGTTTAGGTTGGGAAGCCATAGACATTCTTTTAAAAGATATAGGATATTTATATGAGTAGATTCATTTCATGAAATAGAGCTTATTTCTGAATAAATAACCCAGGGTTTCTGTAAAGCTTAGAAGGATGCTAACTTCTGCATATTATCTTGTTGACTTTCTTTGGTGCTCAAGTGTTAAAATTTTTGCTTCTTTAATTTAGGCTACAATTATTTTTAATGTTAAGTTTATATGGCAATCTTCATGGACTTATTATTCTCTGACTTGCAAACTGTTTTGCGAGTAATGGAAGAAAGCTCGGGAACAAATTAAAAAAACAAATACCACTTGAATGGACAATCTGATTTATGTTGGGAAAAGGCTTGATAAAAAATAAATTAGATACCACAGAATATTAAGGTTTGAGTTAAATATTGTCTGGGAATCAGCAATTTATCTTTATTCACTTTTTCAAAACCATGAAAAGAATTCAAGGTTCAGATAGAAAGATTTTCTATCTGCATTTCTAAAAGGTTCCTGGAAAACATTCCTGGAACAAAGTTTCATTGGGTACATTAGATTTCACTAAAGAATCTGTATCTACATAATTTGATTTTTTAGCATAAATAAGAGAATGGGTGCTGTTCACCTAAGGTGAAATGTACTTATTTCCCTTTATTTCCCAAAATAAATGGCAAAAAGCGGACAAAAAAGTTCCAGCCTAATAACAACACAGGATCTATCCATCCTGGCCATTTCTTCTATCTCCCCAAGGTCATGCTGGTTGCTGGCTAGGAAACTAGGAGAGTTGGGCTAATACTTCTGGAAGGCATTAGCTTTGGAGCCTTGACTTTGCAAAACACGATCAAAAGTAACAATCAAAGCACAGCATGTCACAATAGCTATTTACACACTGGAATTAAAGAATTATTGCTTAATTTGATTATTTCTTCAATGTATACTTGCCTCTGTATCCATAGGAAACAAAGTGAGCAATGGTGTGAAGTAAAATAGCATAAAAAGATGACACAGGAGACAAAAGTCTGCACCCTTTCCTAATGATTAGGTTACAATTGGAAGAGGACTGTTAAATCTGATGTTGAAATTCAGAGTTCATCTTTGGCCATTTCTGCCCTATTGAAGCATCATCCTGTTGTTGCAAATTTGCATGAGAACCCCTGAAAAATAAAACTCAGAAACTAAGACTAAAAAATAAATGAGTCATCTTGGCACGCACTCCTTTTTTCTGTGTGTCAGACAGAACAGCCAGCACATCAGAGAAGATGGGAAGGAACAAACCAACACTGTTTCACATTTAATGTTATCAAAATGCATTCTGAATTTTACAAATACAACTTAGAAGTGAGGGTTCTGGACTGGTTGCTCTACCTTGAGGATTAAGTTGCCAGGTTGGGGTGGAAGAATTGGTGTCAAGATATTGCCCTTGCCACCTACATTGACTTTGATAACAGATTCTGCTGCATCAACAAGATACTTTGACATGTAGCATGTGATATCTTGAAAGCTTATGCAAAGTCTTCCAAATAAGAACTGTTCCTTGAGTTGTTGCATGAAATTACCAGAATCCCCATTGTATCAGAATGAAAAAAGACTGCTGCCTTCCAGGCAACATTGTTTTCTAAGTGCAATTCAAAATACTGATTTTGAAAACCCAGTATCATTCTGAGTTGAGAACTACTTAAAGGGCTCTTCCAACACCTTTATAGTCATGATGGGGCGATTGGAGAAAGACCGTTTATACTGGCACTTCCTAGATTCTGCAACAGATTTATCACTTGTCAGCAAGTGCCAGGGACTAAGGGTTAGGACAAAGAATCTGAGGCCTTCCAGATGTTGATATCCAACCCATAAATTCTTCTGTGTGGCCAATTGTCAGGGATGGTGAGAATTGTACTCCAAACACCTAGAGCAGAAGTGTCCGACCTTGGTAACTTTAAGACTTGTGGACTTCACCTTCATCAGAGTTAAAGTCTACTGGTCTTAAAGTTGCCACGATTGGACATCCCTGATCTAGACAGTCAATACTTTATGGAACCGTGTGTGCATGTGTGTGTGCACACACGTGCATACACTTTTGTTCTGACATTAAACCTGTCTTAAAACATCAGGATGTTTGAACTAGAAGCTTGTCTGGTTTTTGTTTCTCTCCTCCATTTTTTTTTTACCTTTTAAAAAAGTTATCCATCTTGCAGTTCTGCCATTTTAATTGCAAGTTTTACTTTTATCTGTCTAAATCAGCTTTGCCCAACATAATGGCCTCTCTATATATTGACTTTCAACTCCAAAGGCTTTAAGTGACTGGAAGATTAAGGGGTTGTCTTGCTGATCTGAAAGAATCAAAATGGGGAGAGCGACGCAGCTCCATTGTTAATAGATATTTCCTCTCATTGTTTCCTGTACTATCCAATTTTGACCAATCAAACTCTGATACAAATCATCCCAAACAACTTTTCCATTTTGTTTCATTTTATTTTTTTTAAGTATTTGGACATTTTTATATACATATATACAAAAACACCTATTCCTACTTTTTTCTTTTTCTTTTTCTTTTTTTTACAATTTCATATGATTTACAAAACAGGACAGCAAAATAACTTAGAAAGGATACGAATACTGTACAAAAATAAAATGGATTAAAGTTGTAAAGATTGGTATTTTACAGTGTTACAGATTTGTTAACCTGCAATAAAACAGCATTTGAAAAGTATGTCTGGTGCATACTGGGCTAAGTCCATCAACAAACAGGAGAGACCTGTATAGAAGTCATCAAAATTGTTCACAAAAGATGTTGTATAGCTATAGTTTAAAGCCATGGCTTCTCTCGGAAGGTCTTTCTGAATGGAGGAGAGGAGCTGCATTCACGTCAGCACTCTTTTGAGAATTTCCAGAGTGGCCTGGCAAAGAAGTTCACCAAGAACTTGATTTTTCCTTCTTGTCAACACCTGCTGTAGCCTCTTCTCAAATTCCGATTTGCTAAAAGATCGCAACCTTATTTCACCGCGCTGTCAAGTGACATTCACTGCTTACTCTTACACCAAATCTGACAAACTTGTCCAATTTTATTTTGTTAGTGGTTAATAAACTTTGGGTAGTTTCTGATGTTACTTTTGGAAGACTCCTAAAAAGCATATTTTACATCCCGTTGCTTCCCAGATTTATTTGAAAGTAAGCTTCATTCATTTGAAGGAACGCGCCTTTCAAATAAGCTTGCTGAGATTAAAACCCAAAGAAACATTCCCTGCTTCTGAGAGTAACCTCATGAAACTCCTGGATCCTTCAGCTATACATCTCTTTTCTGGGGCGCAGCCATGGGAGTTTCATTTCCCCCATAAAAACAGTTTAACAATTATAGTGCAGCTGGGGGACAGTGGTCAGCAAACAGGGTTGAAGAAATCCTTGCTTCTGCTGCAAAGTGGAAAGAGTTTGCTGGACAAAGATCTGTACTACACATGCTTAATCCTGCTCAGTTGCCCTTCAAATTACCAACTGATTCAGCCTGAGGAAGAGATTTGCTTGGGAAGAAGAAAACAGTGAATGGGTAAGAATTAAGCACCTTATTTTTCCTTTTGCCCCAACAACTGCAAATCGGGTGTCTTACATAACTTACGCAGCAGACAAATCATGCCCAAAGTTCTCAACCCTGTTTGCTGTCAAATGCCAGACCAGCCCTTTAAGACCTGGTTATGCACACATTGTCTAAAACTAATATAGGAAGCAGGCCAGTGTCAATTGGTAGCCTAACTATTGGTATGCATGGCAGCCCCAATTAAAAATTATCGTGGCAGTTGCTTCCCCTGCATCATAGCTGGAGAAACTCATGGCTGTTTGCAGAAAGTGGGTGATCTGACAGGTTTACTTGTTACCAAGCCAGAAGGTTTATCATCTCCCAATGCACATTAGTGGAGACATCCACAGTAGCATATAATGGGTTTACCTTCATGTCAGTCAACCTACTTACTGCAAACTGGTGGCCACTCCGATATTAGAAATAACACACCAGGATCGTGCACACCTCATTGTGATGACCAGAAGATCACAAAGGTGAGTCCCAAATGTATCAGGGAATCATTCTTTTTTTTTTATAGCTGGAAGAGCTGTTAAGAAAATCAACCTAGTCATTGTTTTTATACATCCTATGGTTGGATTTGTCCATAAGAATCCTTTTAGGAATGAGAGGAGCAGTTCCTATGATTTGATGTTCAAATAATATATGCTGCCAAATTAGGTCACGGCAAACTATTCTGCAAATGGTTTGGCTGGTGTGGTGAAGGCAAAGCCATCATTTCTATACCCTGACCTGAAGTCCACAAGGGAGCAACATGAATAGCACCATTTGGCCATCTAGGACTTTCCAGCCCAAGGGACCAACTTAGAACCTTCGGGTGGACTGGAGGTGGCCATGTTTCATATGAGATCAAGTCCACAGCTGTCAGGAGACAGGCAAGTGCCCTAACCACCATTTCGCCAAACCTGATGATTCTCATCTGCCTTTGTGACCTGATAAGGAGGGTGCCATTTAAGTGCCTGTGGCTTGCTTTGTACAAAAGGTGGAATAACAGCATTCAGCTTTTGGGCTCTCTTTTGCTAAAACTGCACTTGTCCTACCCCAAAGCAACAGTAAAGATCTGGCAAACTGTTTAGTAGGACTCAGACAAGAGCTTAGGCTCCGGAGGATTGGTTTCATATAGAAAGGGAGGACAATTGGAACAGTACCACATTGCGAGCTGCTGACTAACCACATAGTCCTCACCCTTATTAAACAAGGCAGCATTAACAGTACTGATAAAAGCAGAATACTTTTTTTCAACACTAGAGCAATAGAAAGAGCCAGGCTACCTATTTTTTATAAGGAAGAACAAACATCC